TGTGTGTGTGTGTGTGTGTGTGTGTGTGTGTGTATATATATATATATATATATATATATATATATATATAGCGCTGGGAGTGACTCCAAGCATCATGAAAAAGAAAATTGGATGAATTTGCTGTCCAGATTTTCTGTGGGACATTTACGAGAGATGAATGTCTTCAAGTTTCTAATATATACTTGTTGAATAAGTGTGATAAGTAACTGAGTTTGTAAATAAGGTTCTCACTAGATTATCAGCAACCATTTTCTAATCACCAAGAGGGGCCAGTCTTTGCTTTCTCCTAATGAGGCATCTAAAGTAAACCAAGACCCCTATATGTTTGTCATGGCCTCCAACGACTATGGAGCTGGCACGTTGTGAAATTCTGTAGCCGTCGATGCCTGGGGACTATGCTATTTTAGGATTGAAATGTGTTCCTGAAATTGTTCCCCAAAGCCTTGTATTTTATCTTTAACAATATAGCTGTCACCAGTGAAGTATTTATTGATGGTAAAATTCTCTAGAATGCTTCATTGATGTCTGTTTGATTGCAATAGCAAGTTGCTTATGGGAAACGTCGTCACGACAGTCATAGTTTGCCTGTCTTGTGTAAGGCGTGTGGAGCACGGTCTGTTTTCACACTAGGTATGCCTGCCTGTTTTGTCAAAAAACTGTTTCATTCCCAATACAGTTTCTATGCTTGCCTGTACTATCCTAATGGTGTCAAGATATTTGTGCATAGTCTTTTATATGAACTGTTATAAATTAACATTATTAGATTCCTAAGGAAAGAGGCTACTACAGTGCAGCCGCTGAAGACTGTCCAGCAGAAAGGAAAGAACGAGCAGGCGACTTTTGTTAGGACCTTTTTTCTGCTGAGACTGAGCTTGCTGTCTGGCCAGGCTGGTCTCGAACCCCTAGGCTCAAGCAGTCCCCCAGAGCGCTGGAACTCTCATGGTTTGCCGTGGCTCCTGGCTGCTATGACTTCACGAGGCTCTGAGTTACATGAACTTTATTTGCTGACTTAGAGGTACCACTGTAAATACTGTTTGAGGACCCATTCCTAACAGAGGAGTTGTGAGCAGTTAACCGTCATTCTTCTTTGAGGGCGTGGGCCACTGGTTGGACCCACAGAGGTGAACATATGGGCAGCACTACGTGGATTTAGGGGGCTTTTCTTTTAACTAAACAAAGAGAAAAGGGAATAGAATTGAGAGGTGGACTGCAGGGGTGGGTATAAATCCCAGGGGAGATGAAGGGGGAAAGCTTGGGGGGGGGAATATGTCTTTGTAAACACATACTAAATTGTCAAATAATAAAAAAATATATAACTAGAGATGCTGCTGTAGCCACATTCTATGTTTCTCATTCTTGAAGGAGTTACCAGTTTTGTTGTGTGTTACCAGTTTTTAATCGTGTGTGTGCATGTGGCATACTCTATATATAGTCATGTACACATGTTAGTGTGCGTACATTTGCAGACAGGTGTGCATGCTTCTATGTGCATGTGCAGGCCAGAAGTCAATGTCAGATGTTTTCCGTAAATGCTCTCCACTTTAACTTTTTAGGGGTGTGTGTGTGTGTGTGTGTGTGTGTGTGCGTGTACTGAATGCAAATGTGTATGTGCGGGTGTGCACACGTGGACATGTACACAGGATCGGAGGAGGACATCAAGAGTCTCACTCTCTCATTCTTCATCTCATTCCCCCCGAGACAGGCAGGGTCTCTCACTGGACCACAGCTGGACTGTGATGAACTAAGTGATACTCCTATCTTGACCCCCTACAGACATGGGGTGACAAGGCTGTCGGCCAAGTTTTTACGTGGGTGCTGGGACTCGAACTCCCAGGTCACTGTGTTTGCAATGGCAACCCCTTTTACTGGCTGAGCCACTAACTCGGTCCCCCACCACTTTACTTTTAAAGACAAGATGTCTCAATAAACCTGGAGCTTCCTGATTTGGCTAGGCTGGTTACCCATTGAGCGCTGGGATTCTGCCAACCCTGGTTCTCCCAGTACTGGATTTACAGGCAGCATGCCACCATAACCCCCCGGTACTCCGAAGCTGGAAATTTAAACCCAGGTGCTTATGCTTGGGTGCTAGGCAGTCTACCGACTGAGCCCTCTCCTCAGCCCCCGCACTTACTGTTTTTAGTACAACTGTTATTCCTATAGTCCAGGGCTCTTTACGAACTCAGGTGGGTTGGCTCTTCCTCGCCTCTATCTCAGCCCCCAATCCCTTGGCCACACTTGGGCAGGCTCTCTTCAGAACTGATCTCCCTCTGACCATGTGTCCAGACTCTTCCTTCTTCTCTCCACCCAATCCTTGCTTTCCTGCTGCCCGAGCAGAGAGACTCCTCAGCATCCTCTCCCAACACACCTATTTGGAAAGGTTAGCAACCACAGAATAGGCGTGCAGTGGAGAGCAAGTCAGTGACCCTGCCCTCAAGACACTGTGAACTTCAAACTCCATCGACGCAGCCCACACCCTCAGTGAATGCTCCTCCCGGGCTAACACCATTACACACTCCATCCCTGGATAAGTTCCGTATTTATCTCTCTGCTGAGCTATATTCACAAGAACTAGCTCTCATTTTAAACCTGAGGTCCACATTTTAAGGTCCAAATCTTTGACCGGGCATACCCTCAGTAGATTCCCAAGAGAGCAGCCGCTGTTTCTCCTCCTGCGG